CTTTTTTGATGAAAATGTGCGCTCAAAGGAAGGCGGGAAGGAGGCCTGCCGTCTGTACCCTTCCCATGGTCCCTTGCGGTTCATCACCAGTCACTCGTTTCGCGCTCGCCTCTGCTATGCGAAAAACGAAGCGCCTGAGGAGGAGGCTGCATTAGGTACGTACTGCCCTTGCGTAATTAGTGGTTAGTTGCGAAGGTGGCGACTGTGAAGGCGTTTACTAAAACAATGAAAACTGCTTCGTGACATAACTTGCAAAACATATCCATTCTTCTATTTGTTTCAGAATGATGAGCACTTCATTCGATCGTAACCCAGTGTAGGTGGCGGTAAGTAAAAAAAGAAATCCAGTCATGATTCCATTCTCGCCTAATGAAAATAACGGGTGCGCAGCCATCCGAAGACCAAAAAGCGGAACTTCTGGCTAATACTGAAAGGAAGAACTGCAGAAATACATAAAAAATATCGCGGGATAGATGTTACCTACTTCTTGAGGAGTATATGCAGGAAAAATTAACATCAGTGAATCCGTGCAGAGAAATAAGCAAAAGTTTTAAAGAAAGTCTACAAGGAGTAAGCTTGATATATGAACTTAAAAATATTTTGCCTGAATATCAAGAATTTTGAGGAATTAACCTGGTCCACTGGGTTTAATCTGCCTATAGGGCTCACTGACTTTATACTGTTTCTGTTTTCATTGCATAAAACGAAAAGTCCTCATACATGGCAGCTAATATGATGGATTGTAGATTTGAAGGCCTCTTTATATGTAGACGATGAACTCACAATAGGGCCATTTATACGAGGAAAAATAAGACGCGTCTTGCATAAGACGCGTCTTAAATAAGACGCGAATTTTCCGTATAAACGGCACATTTCGTCTAAAGTAAGACGCGGCTTAGCTAAGACGCGTCTTATTAGATAAGACATGCTCGTATAAATGGTACAGTTCGCGTCTTATTTAAGACGCGTCTTATGTAAGACGCGTCTTATTTTTCCTCGTATAAATGGCCCTAATGCTTTCTTTTTCTTTTCTTTTCTTTTCTTTCCTTTTTCTTTTTTTTTTAAGCGTAACTGAGGCAAATTATTCTTCTCAATCGATAATGATAAAAAATATACAAAATTTCAAGTAGAGTGATTTACGTTTCGGTCGTTTGTCCCATGCAATAAGAATTAATGGACAATATCTGGCGAGTAATTTTAAACATAACAACCGGAATTTAGGTCTTACCGTCGAAAAGTGTATTCTTTGACTCTTTGTAGTAATTTCGGTGTTTTCTTTTCGCTTCTTTTGCTGATTATGGCCAGGATTTAGAATATATTTTTTCTGGCTTTTAAGGGAATTTGCCCAAGTAGTTTTCCTTTTCTTAGTAAGCATGAATTTTAATTCAAGACTGCAAGTATATATTAGAGGCAGCTTGGCAGTGTTCATCATAGCCTAATCAATGTGACACCTGCTTATTTGACAGAGGTTATCAAACATAGGTTTTCGAACCTACATAAAATTATTCTTAAACTTATTATAAGTAAAAAGTAGCTTTCAAAGCATATAACGATCTATATTAACTAGTTAAACAAACAATGGAAAAGTTCAGTAAGACGCAAAACATTCAGATTTTATAGAAACCAACTATGCCTAGATCTTATTTTGAGTTGTTATTCATTTATTTCTTAGAACCACTTTCTGGCTGCTTTTATCTCATTGTTATGACTAAGTGACTTTATGCCATGCCTTTGCGCTGATGAAAATGTCAGCTATACGTCGAGCTTACTAAAAACTAAATGAATATCCTCTTTCAAATATCATAAAATTCAACATGATGCACGGAGAGTTTTAGAGGCTTCAAAAAAAGGACTAACATGTTTATTCCTTTATTTATTTATTCATTTATTTATTTGTAAGTATTTATTTTTGTTTGTGTCCCTCTGGACTCACTATCATAATGAATTTTGATATATTGATAGTGGCGAATGTAGCACAGACCACGTTGCCCAAAACGTATAAGCCGCTTTGAACAATGAGGCTTAGGTACTAGGCAAGTCTATTTTTAAGAACATCAATATAGGGTGCTTAGGTTCCTACTTAGTACTATGACATTTAAAGACAAAAAGCTAGGATCGCTATTATAATATCATGTAGGCATAGCGCCTCTAAGATAGCAGAGTTACCGCAAAGATTCGTTAAACAGGGTCGTCACGTGCAGGTTGGGGGGTAAGCTTTCGCAGCTTTTTTTTTTTTTTTCGCATTCATGTCATAGATCTCTACGAAATCCTGGAAATCCGCCAAGAATCATGTCCCACGAAAAGTTTGCTCCACATGATATATATCTTGGTTTATCTTAGAACAAAAAGGAAACAAGTAAAGAACTCATCGCAAGAGGCACTAAAGGTAGTTAATATATAAGTTTTTTCCTCGGCATAACTTACCGATAATATCCATGTTCTTTTCTTTAAATACACTGCTTTGTTGTCCGAGTTGAACTTTTTGTGCATTTATTTCGCAATAAATAAGCCCGTCTCTTGAGAACTAACATAAACAGATGAATTTTATGCAACNCCCACCGAACAAAAAAAGAAAAAAGCTGTCAATGGTATTGAGATTCGATTTAGGAATTATTTTTTAAAAAAAAAAAATTTTTGGTGGTTGTTTTTTAAAATGGGTTTTAAAAAAAAAATAAGGGGGAAAGTTTTCGCTTTTTTTTTTTTTTTTTTTCGCATTCATGTCATAGATCTCTACGAAATCCTGGAAATCCGCCAAGAATCATGTCCCACGAAAAGTTTGCTCCACATGATATATATCTTGGTTTATCTTAGAACAAAAAGGAAACAAGTAAAGAACTCATCGCAAGAGGCACTAAAGGTAGTTAATATATAAGTTTTTTCCTCGGCATAACTTACCGATAATATCCATGTTCTTTTCTTTAAATACACTGCTTTGTTGTCCGAGTTGAACTTTTTGTGCATTTATTTCGCAATAAATAAGCCCGTCTCTTGAGAACTAACATAAACAGATGAATTTTATGCAACTGTCGTTTGATTATAATTTGTTGAAAACAAAGTTTGACTATTTTATCCTTTATTGAACTGCTGTCAGTTCAGTTCCAATCCTCTGCATTCTGTATTATTTCTAACAATTTCCATTATAACCTTCTCAGTAAATTACTATTTGTTAATCAATTTCGCTCTCATTACGCGTTCACGCGAAAAGGAAAAAGAGGTTCTTTCGTTAATTTGGCAAACGTCACAACAATTTTATTGCTGTCTTCAGCTTCTGTTCATTATCATTTTTTGATGAAGCGTGCTCCCAAGTTAAGTTGTTGTCAGAGTGGCTATTAACAAGAGAAACATATCCCGATTTCTCGCAGAACTGTCGTAAACGAATAAATTATGCACCGTCCATCGTATGTTGAGTCTTAAGTCATTTTAAAACCCTATGTATGTAGACTGAAGAGCGAGCATTATGACAATTTGAAAATTATTTGACCAATAACGGACCCCACCGAAACGTCTCTGTATATCAACAGTTGAACAATTGTGGCGACACAAAGTCGGGACTTTAAGATCTAACGACGCGGACGGTAACGAGAACGACAAAAAAACAGTAGGTTATATTAGCAAAACAACACCCTTGCACGTGCACCATGCTTTTTCTACATTTCTCTGCCCGTTTTTGCACGACTACGACGTGAACATGCCCAATCTCGCGTTTTACGGAGGACGTAAGCAAGCAGCGACGAAATTTTATTTCTCTGAATGTGCTTGGATATAGTGCCTAGGAATTCAACTCCAGAAGGTTTCGCTACATTTGACAAAGTAAGTGGGAATGAATAATTGTGATATAGACTGAAAGAATGCAAATTCACTTTTTAAGCGACGTCCTCATTGCCGTCGCGTCGTTGGATCTTAACGTCCTGTGACGAAGCGACCGCGCCGATCTCAAAAGTGGAGTGTGACATATCGGATAGGTTTTGTGTCATACTTTGGTACAGTGTGAACACCTGTTCGGCCCGTTGCAGAAGTAAATAAGTAGGAGCGAGGACTGGAACCCACAAAGACGGAAGTAAATATTCAGGAGTGAGAACTGGATGTTAGGGCACCACACCTAGCAAGGCTATTTTAAGAATATCAACATAAGGGTGCATAGGTTCCTGTTTAATTATATGATTTCTTTCTTTTGAGTTCAGCTTTTATTTTATCTTAATGTACTAAATTGAGTACACATTGTATAAGTCTCCCCACGTATTGGCCATGTTGGCGCTATAGCCCAATAAAGCGGAAGTTAAGAGTGTGGAATTGAACGACCTCGGAGCAGGGTACATGATTCCTATCAAACTAAAACCTAGTGAGACTTTGGCGTGCGACATTACTTTCTTTTACAATTTTGCCCCTTTAAAATAACTTGTCATTCACCATCGCATCGTTTTCATTCAAATTCCCTCTTAAATGACGAGCTCATCGGCTGAAAAAGGGTAAACCATCGCACTGAAATAAAGATTATTTTTGACATTTGAAATAATTACAATGGAACCGGCCGGTCAATACGGGACATGGGGACATGTTTTAGTGTCCAAATTAAGCGGATTTCCGTATTATAAAAGTCAGGGTAATTTCATAGAAAATATATGTTGTTGAGCTTTTTTTCGCTCGGGAAAAACCAGACTGTCCTTTGTAGACGGGTGTCCGTAGAGCGGCGTTCCACTGTACATCAAATAGACAGTGATGATTGGAATGGCAAGGAATCATATATTTAGATGCACATGCGTACGGAAATGCAAGCGTTGCAGCCAATACAATTCCTCCTGAAGTTGTATGTTACTCTAACAATGTTTACCACCGCAGTTTGCGTGCTATTTCTTAATTATTACTTTATTTTATTTCATTTTTTGTTATTTCACTACTCATATCTTTGTTACACTGATTAATAAAGATTACAAAAGATATCTAAGCAAGAAGACCTCCGCAATCTTGTTAGAGCTTTTCTAAGGAAATCTTCCGGCAATTTTTTATGTTCGTTCTTCAACAGGTATTGCTTGAGTACGTACATGCAATGTAAGAGGTTCCATGGGTGGGACTCGCACTAGTTTTGATGTCTTAGTACAAAAAAGTTTTGTGGCTGCTTTCCTAAATTCTTGCATTCTTACTGCATATATTAGGGGATTGACTATAGAATTGAAAAGATAGAGTAAGTCAAACGAGTAATCGATGCGGGAAAGTACTGCAGGGCATAATTTACTCCGTATGCGTTGGGGGACAACAGTCCAAATAGCCCAAGGAAAAATGGTCAGAAAAGAGACCACAGTAACTGTAAATAAGGTCACCGTTAGTTTCCTTTCTTTTGAAAGTGCTGTTCCAGCATTAGGTGTGTGAGGGTTGTTTTTAACGGTTGAGATGATTATAGAATATGAAACTGTGAGAATAAGAAGGGATAGAAAAACGTAAGATGCAATGACATACAGAAAAGAAGCCGGCGAAGCGCGGAAAGTAAGAAGAGAAAAGACAGATGACAAAGTCAAGGAGAACAACCAGCTACACAAAATAGTGGTGAGGTAAACTCCTGTTCCAACAAGACAATGCCTATAGGGGAAAAGTGTTGCGTGTAACCTCTCTAACGAGATCAATGAAATATTAGCTAATGAAGCAACTAAAAAAAGCTCCTGTGATGTGAAATACATAAATGATTGCCAACTTAAATCTTGTTCAAGACCCTCCACCGTCCCCAGGTTGTCTCCTTCGAATATTATAGAAGGTCCGGCCACTGTTGCCACCAGTAAATCGGCCACAGTCAGATTTATTATCAGGTACGTACTGCGCTTGCGTAAGTGGCGGTTTCTTATGTAGGTGGCGAGAGTGAAAGCATTCAGTAAAAAGATGACAATACACTCGATGACAAAAGCTGCAAACCAAGCTCCTCTTTCCTTTTCAGAAATAATTCTACCAGTCTCATTCGAAACGTTCCAGCAATGTTTCATTCTCAATAAGTGTTATGATTACCAGTGGCATCCCCCTTTTCTACAGGAAATTTACAAACAAAACAGCATGTTAATACGAGAAGCAGTCACGCAGAGCGAAAAAAAGGCGAAAAAATGAAATAAAAAGATTTAAAAAATGGATGACGTCTCAATTGGCCCATAAACGGTGTTAACAGGTGTTCTACTGAGCACTCAAAGCAAAGCAAGAAAGCTGCTATTTAGAGTATATTTTCAAGGAAAGCAATATATTCAGAAATAAAAAAAGTTAAAAAATTTGCATTGATGTATCGCTAAACGAGGCATTTACCCGTATCTATGCAAAGTAATACATCCAGTCAAATAGAAAAACGTTGTTCCAAAATTTTGAGCAAAAGCATAACAAAGCTAAGCTATTCTTTTCTATTTTTCTTCGTAAATATAGACGATCGGTANTAGAAGGTCCGGCCACTGTTGCCACCAGTAAATCGGCCACAGTCAGATTTATTATCAGGTACGTACTGCGCTTGCGTAAGTGGCGGTTTCTTATGTAGGTGGCGAGAGTGAAAGCATTCAGTAAAAAGATGACAATACACTCGATGACAAAAGCTGCAAACCAAGCTCCTCTTTCCTTTTCAGAAATAATTCTACCAGTCTCATTCGAAACGTTCCAGCAATGTTTCATTCTCAATAAGTGTTATGATTACCAGTGGCATCCCCCTTTTCTACAGGAAATTTACAAACAAAACAGCATGTTAATACGAGAAGCAGTCACGCAGAGCGAAAAAAAGGCGAAAAAATGAAATAAAAAGATTTAAAAAATGGATGACGTCTCAATTGGCCCATAAACGGTGTTAACAGGTGTTCTACTGAGCACTCAAAGCAAAGCAAGAAAGCTGCTATTTAGAGTATATTTTCAAGGAAAGCAATATATTCAGAAATAAAAAAAGTTAAAAAATTTGCATTGATGTATCGCTAAACGAGGCATTTACCCGTATCTATGCAAAGTAATACATCCAGTCAAATAGAAAAACGTTGTTCCAAAATTTTGAGCAAAAGCATAACAAAGCTAAGCTATTCTTTTCTATTTTTCTTCGTAAATATAGACGATCGGTAGTTGATCACTTCTTTCGACTACTGATATAGAATTCTAGCTATTTGGTACCTGTGAGAAGGTTAATTTGTGCGAGTTATGAGTCACTCAGTTTTACTGTAAAACAAATTGAGGAGTGCGTCGTGGCGTGAAATTTAGGCAGGAGTTTATTTCGCCCATTCCCTGTCTGCGTTTCACGGGTACGAATTTTTGCAAAATCGTGGATTTTGCAATGCTCAGAATAACTTTTGCAGATAAGACACATGCCTTGGCCATATTTTAGGTACGACTAGTAAGAGATATGGCAATTTGAGGGGGGTGTTATTTTATTTCATATTTTCCCTTTGGTCATAAATCGTCGAAATGGAGTTCAAAGCTACGGCGGCGGTATCCCCTTTGTCATTCGTTCATCCGTTCAACCAAAAACGTAATGAAGCGTTTCATGCTAGAAACGTTTCAAGGCTTGCATGCCTCTAATTATAAGTTACTCAATAAGAACCTTAAATAAGACTACGCTCACGATACTACAAGTACAGGCATGACTTTTTAAACGCAGCTCGCGTGCCTTTGATAATCAGTTTTCAGGTAGTACACCTGATGTATCATTCCGCCTATCCGTTTTGGCTTCTGCACTTTTTGTGTTAATCATCGACATGAAACCGAGGTAGTTCTGGGAATATAACAAGATAAAATTTAAAATTCGTACTCGTGGTTAAAAAGAAAAAGGATCACTATTATAATATCTGATAGGCATAACGCTTCTAAGATAGCAGAGTTACCGCAAAGATTTCTTAAACAAGGTCGCGCGTGGTTTCGCAGCTTATTATTTATTTCATTTATGTCATGGATCTTTAGAAAATCCTCATGATCGAAACCCGCTAAAAATCATATCCCACAAAAACTTTGCTCCACATGATTATATCTCTTACTATCGTAGAACAACAAAAAAAAAAACGAGTAAAGAATTAACTCATCGCTCTTAAGGTAGTGATATAACTTCTTTCCCTTGCATTAACTTACC